GTCATTAGGGAAATATAGGCTGACAAAACCCCAAGACCAGAAGGAGGTAGAATGTTTACCTGCAATGGAGAAAAACATAAGTGAAGTCGTGGGGAACCAAGGGTGCTGAGATGAGATATACCACCTTTTTCTTGTTTCCATGTTGGATCACTGTGTTCATTTCATAATTAATACCCCTGAACCTAAGACCTTTTCATAGAAGTGCCAAAGGAATTGAAGTTGCCCTGCATTTCTGAGAAATTAAAAAATTAATGAAATCATCAATCATGGATGCTTAGTATAATAGAAAGAACATCAGGTCAAGAACCAAAAGATTTGGGCTCTGTTCCCAGAATTCCCATTAACTAGCCTTGCAAACAAGACATCCCACCATCTTAAGGCTCCATTTCATCATTTGTAAAATAAGAGTTTTGTACTAGTCTTCAGGGCCCCTTCCAGCATTAGCATTTCAAGTATCTATGGTCCTTTAAAAAAAGCATTCTGCTTATCCCTGAGAAGCCTCAAAGGCCTTCCAAGTTTTGCCCCTGATATTCTAAAAGAGGCCTAGCAATAAAGCCCAGGAATAATCAGAGGGCAAATCTATGGGATGGAAAGAGAATAAAAATCAGGCTTTCCATTTAGTGGTGAGGCAGAAAGAAGAAATCAGTGCATGCGCTTGAATACATTTCCATTCCCATCAGCTGTAAGGACTCTATTTGGTACAGCACCGGAACTGGCCTGGAAAAGGGCTCTTTACAGTCTTGATGCAGCCCAATCAATGTGAAGAAATGGATATGGGTCTGATTTGTGATACACATAATTGAAAGGCTTTGATGGGAAATGATGTAGGAAGGAGAAAAGAGTGATAGGTGTCAGGTAAAAACTGGATTAGGGCCTCCCCTGGTGGCGCAGCGGTTGAGCGCTGGCCTGTGAAGCTGCCCACAGCCTCTGCAGTGCCGATTTGATCCCGGCTGCCAGGCAAGGGTCCCACATGGTGTTCAGACCTCTCCTGCTGTGCCTGCTGCTCCCCTCAGCAGTGTATTTCATCAGTCTGCCTGTTCTGTTCCCCGCTCTGGCTCTGGTGAATTCTCTCACCCTCCCGAGCTTCTGACTGTACCCAGTGCTTGTATAAATAAATAAATAAATCTTAAACAAACAAACAAACAAAAACTCGATTAGCTTTTTCTCCTAGTCCAAAGCACTCCTCCAGATGATAAATCAGCATTCTGACCCTATGACCTAACTGGGGATAGTCACATCTGGCTAAGATAACAGCCTGTAGGTTAGCAGAGCAGGTCTAAAGACCAAGCTAACCTTTCTTAAATTTCAACTGGTTATGACTTCTATTGAAAGCAGTAGAAGAAAAATGCTCTTAATCTAATTCAGGAAGGAGAGATATTATCAGCCTATCAGTCAAAGTTTATGGTACATTTCTCAAGGGTGGACCCTGTGGCATCTCCCACATCTCTGTTTTTTAGAGGCTCCTTCCCCTTGGACAGCTTTCTCAGGCTCCTCTTCCCGTCTGCATTGCCCACTACTACACTTTCTCTATAGAGTCTGGATGTAAAGAGCCAGCACCTGAAAGCGCATGCAGACCTCCTGTCCACTTCTCTACAATAACACTCATTGCATTGAGGGAGCAATATTGCTTATTGTAAGTTCTTCTGGGTGTTGGTGCCATGTTTTATCACCATTTTCCCAGAACAGAACTGTGTACAGCAGGCAGCCTCCCGCCTCGTCCACTGCTCCTCTCAGCAGTGTATTTCATTAAATTCCCCTTTTCTGTTTTCCACTGGGAAACCATCTCCTTTCTCTCTTCTCCCTCTCTATTGTACACTAATTCTACTAAAGTTCTTTTCTATTGACTCTCTTAAAAAAATAATGCCCAGCACATGTAGGTGTGGAATAAAGAATTTTGAGTATGAATGGATGATCACATTCTTAAGTATGAGATAGAGCCATCATCTCTATGGCTGACTCCCCAGAACAGCCTCAAATAGAAAACATAGCCAGATCTATAGCATAAAGGAGAAATGACATTTACTTCTGATATACTTCGTAGGTTAGATAGTTGGACCCCAAGTAGCACAGCCATTCCTCTTTGTATTTCATCATAGACAGCCATTTATGTGGCCACCTCATCTGCCTGGAACACAGCTCGCTGGCAAGGAAAACCTTGCAATAACAACTCAGATAGGTATGATTAAGCTCATAAGTCACAAGAGGAGCAATCCAGACTATCTGAGATTTAGGTTATTCACTTTAGGTATAATTCTGAGAAGCTTGACTCTTGGCTCAGAGATAAATCATTCATGAATGTGTGTGTGTGTGTGTGTGTGTGCATGCGCTTCTGTGTTTGTTGGAGAAGGCTCATTTAACAATAAAGTAAATAGTTCAATGCAAATAACCTCCCTGGAATTGAAAATAAAGAATTTTCTGTATTAAACATTGTATTCTGTAAATTATTAAAAGATCACAAACATGAATTTTTAAGTTTCTTTTGTCATAATGGTAAAAATATAAATGTGCTTTCTAAGGGAATGCAAAAGCTTCATTTTCTTATGTTATGGGATAAATGAGGACTGTGCATGGGTAATGAAGAATTCACCTATGGGCACATTGTGCAGGAAAACCATGTCACAAACCCTCCCTTGGGAAAGTTCCCCTGGGGCAGTGCTGTCCCGAGTCCACACCTTTCAATGACTGAGATTTAGATTTCCCCATCTACATCCAGTGTTCAGATACTTTCAAAACATTGGATCAATTAGTCATTTTTCCCTTCCTATTTTTTTCCATTGTAACCCTGGACTCAAGCTGTCAGGCTTCCCAGGCTCGTGTTGCCATAGGAGACTCTGTTTGTTTAGGGTGGAGTGGTTGTTTTTGGCAGGTTGGGGGAGGAGCAATTAATTCTAATAGGTATACGGTAAATTAAATACTTGCGTCCTTCCAACCTTTTCTCTGTATTTCTGTTCCATTTTATAAATCCCCTTCTCTTCCCAGATGGCAGTTTGAGAGCAGAAAAGAAGCAGTTTCTAGAAATCATGTCCAAGTTATAGCAACAGAAGTCCTGTGGGACATAGAGAAGGTCACCTAGACCATTTCTGCTCTTTTCAACATATCTTCCCTAATGTTCTTGAGATGAGACGCCATCCTTGGGAAAGGCTCTTGAAAGATTCCCCAGGATCCCCTATTAATCCATTCAAATGTTTTACTTGTTTTGTTGAAACAGAAGATCTTCAGATTTCCATTTAATGCCTCATACCGAAGACCATGCTGTTATATGTAGGAAAAGTATTTTGGGTCCTCTTTGGATTTTTATAGACAATTACATGAAAAAGAAAAAACAGATTCAGTTTTGTCAGTGAGTCAGTTAGGGTTGGAGGAACAGTAACAGATGCTATGTTAGATAAAGAAAATATACTCCAAACATTTGAAAAAGAAAAACTCTGGGGGAATCGCAAGAGATGTATCCAGTTCCCCTGGGATGACCCAGCAGCCTCTGAAGGTGTTCAGGGGACAGCTAGTTGCAGTTTGGATCCTATTATTTGGCTGTAATAATGGACCCAAGTCCTGGTTGTATAGTTACTCCAATTTCTCAAGAGCTGGAGCAACTGACTCCAGTGTTAAAGTCCCATGCTCGTCTCAGAATCTTTTGTCTTTTATCCTAGGGAGGCCTGTGTTAAAAACAGAATTCATTTTCACTTCCCGCTTTCAACTGACATTTCTAGGCAGCTGGGGGACAGCTGTTGGTTCCACCCCACAAGTAGCAGCTTTTCAGTGGTTGGCAAACTGGTATACATCTGGAACAGAGTTCAAGTGACCTCAGGACCCCATAGAATAAATCAAAACATTGAAGTAATAACTTGGATGAGTTCATTCTGATGTAACTCAATTGCTAAAAACTATTTAATGGCCATTTTTTTAGGTTAGTGATCTCTCTCATCAAAACACAGTGAAATAGGGGCCTTCTATTTGACATTTAGGGAGGATGGCAGGCAGAGAATTAGAGCGTGTAAACTGAAAGATGGGCTCAGAACTCAGGAGTCTACTGACTAAGGAGCTTGAACACTAGATGTTACTGAGGATTTGCAATTGGGCACCCACTCGGGATGGGGAGCAGCTAATGTGACTGAGTAGGTGGACTGGCTGTTGTACCTCCAAGATGCTGTGGGGCACTTTCTCCGGAGTGGTGCTAGAAAAACAAGACATTGGACCGGCAAGCTAATTTTTAACCACTTGTTGCCATTCTTATGATACATTCCCTTTCGGGGTGAAACACTCCATTCACTCTGGTTTGGCCTGGGCCCCTTTCCCATCCTGGTTCCTGGTCACTTGTGGCAGAAAATGGGAGTGGATGGAAATGGTTTAGTTTTCTCTAGTCTCATCTTGTGTCCAGCTGCTGTGTATGAAGCAGCTAGGCATGCACCACTAATTCTGTTCCAGCACAGCTGCTGCAAACCTAGCCCTTGCACTCTGAGAAGACATTGTTCAAGTCTTTTTAGCACTCCAGGGCTACTATGGGCTCTAAGAACAAGTCCCAGGACAAGAGGTAGAGGTTCTGGTCCTTAATCTGAGAAGTAGCAAAAAGTCAAGATACAGGAATTCTAATCTCAAGCTCTGCTACATCCCTTAGCTCTATGTCCCAGGCAAGTTTGGTCATCTCTATGTATCCATTTCCTCACTGAATAAATGGGACTTTTTAAGCCTGTGCTCAACAGAGTTAAAATGTGTGAAACACTTTTATAACCTATACAGACCAATTATTACAAGATGAAAATGTTGGTCAAGGAATTTGAATGAACTATCACCCTGGGATCAGTGCAGGTGCTGCACATTAACTCTGATAACTCCATAGTGCCAGTAGTCTTTAGATTTTTCAACCTCCTAAGAAGGTTAAGTCACCGTATCCTGTACCTTGGGTGCCCTCCCTAATCTCTTGAGTCCCATGTGCTAGGTTAGTGTGGGGATGGAAGGGAGAGGCACAGTGAGGCTGGACTTTGACACCCCCAAACTCCCTACAGCCTTTCCAAGCAGATGGTTGGTGTGACACAATCAACAACCGGGCCTATTGTCACTATGATGGAGGAGACTGCTGCTCATCCACACTCTCCTCCAAGAAGGTAAGTGGGGGCCCCTGAGATGTGGGGAGAGGATGGCAACTCTAGGAATAAAGGCAGCTGCTTTCACCTGCTCTTTCATTCTATTCAACAGTCAAGAAGAGGGAAATGTAATGAGCAAATATCAGAGCTTCTAAAGCAATAGGACTGAGGGCAGTAATTTCTTAGGATAGTTTAGTTGAAAACAATTTATAAATTGTCCATCTATTAACACCTTCAGAAAAGCAATGTCTCTTACTACTGAAAGATTCACACTGGGGACCTCCCAGGTGGCGCAGGTGGTTGAGCTCCACGCTGTGAAGCTGTCCACAGCCTCTGCAGCATGGGTTCGATCCCGGCCAGCCAGCGAGAATCCCACATGGTGCAGCAGACCTTGCCTGTCTCGCCCGCTGCTCCCCTCAGCAGTGTATTTCGTTAGTCTGCTTGTTCTGTTCCCTGCTCTATCTCCGGTGAATCCTCTCACCCTCCCACACATCTGGCCTGTACCCCGGTTCTTGTATAAATAAATAAATCTTTAAAAAAAAAGATTCACACTGGTTTATCATTGTCCAGGAAATGCCTCTGTAGGCAGAGAATAATGGCCTTCACCTTGAGAAAGCAGGAGAGCCAATGAATTGATGTCCAGTTATTATTAATCTCCATCATTAAGCTAATAATCCAATAAAGTATATTCTAAGCATATTGCAGGCATATAGTCAATGGCTACCACATCCTACCTGGAGCACTCCCAGGACCATATCCAGAGCCTCTTGTCATGCCCTTCATCACTATTGCTCTGAGCTCCATTTAATTAGAAGATATCAAATAGGTTAAATATTTGCAGTTGTATGATTTTTTCAAAAAAGTGCTCCAAAGATATTTGATGCCAGTTGGCCAATTAGATGGATCAGAAATATACAAGGGATCATATTTACTTACTTGTGTGTCTCCACAATAAAATCACACCTCCATGATCATCTCTGTACAAACTGAGTTAAGTCATCCAACCTCTCTTGACTTTCTCTATAAAAAGAAAAAGCTAATATTCATTTTACCCACCTTATGGGGAATTTTTGAAGATAATAGCAACAAAAACATTGACAGCAGTAGTTTTAGACAATAACGTTAATATTAGAAGTAGTGGTAACAGGTGTTGAGGTAGCTAGAAATATCTAGTTTCTTTTTTTAACTACACAAATATCCTCTGGAGCAGTTACTTCTGGCCTCCTCATTTTACACATGAAGAAAGTGAAACAAGGAAGGTCACCTTGCCCAAAGCAACATTGTGTGTGAGAGAACTGAGTGTTAATTTCAGTTCTGTGATAGTAAATACATTATTCCACTCTTCCTCTGGGACCAAGTGAGAAGAGCAAAAGCTGGTTGAAAAGTGTGAGGCTTGACACACAAATGGGTTATTGTGACTTTTCTTTGATTCTCCAGGTCATTCCTTTTGCTGCTGACTGTGACCTGGATGAATGCACCTGCCGAGATCCCAAGGCTGAAGAAAATCAGTAACTCTGAGATCAAGCCCCTCCTTCACTGCCCTGGAGGCAGTAAGAGAGAGGTCTCCTTGCAGAGAAATAAAAGGTGAATGAAGAAAAAAGGTCATGAAATAAAGGAAGGAAGAAGAGCATATGGGATATTAGGAGAAATACAACAGGATGTTTATAGGTGCCAATTATTGCATCAAATAGCCCAAGACTCATAGGTAAAGGTTTATTCAAAGTGAAAGTTGATTAAAAATGGAAGGAGAAATATGATAGATAGACGAGGACCCTCCTCCCCCATTTATATTCTATTCAACCCCTCAATTATTGATCCATTCCCTTCCCTGCACCCTGCCAACTTGTGAACCAATACCAAAATGCTAGAAGCAAAGTTGCCAGGGACACTGTCGCTACGCATTTTGAATGGATAGCCATCTTTTGAGGCTCATCTATCTTCAACTGGCTCTCTCTTCCTTTTGTGTAGTCTCCCTTAGTAACAATGAGGTTAGTTATTAATTCTTTGTAAGTATTTAAACATAATTATATAAATATATATATTATATTTTTTGCTGTCTACTAAGCCTAAAAATTATCCATTGTTCCACATATGCTGCTGTGAAGTTCATGTCCAGAATGAATGTTGAAGGTTTGGGGACAGAAAAGCAAGTTCTTCTGCCATCTTTCTGTTGATGGGGAATTGTCAGGTTGAGGGGAAAGTGGAGAAGAGAGAGAGATTAGATAAAGGTCTTGGTGATAACATGTGAGCTAGTCATCTTTTTTCATGAGCTGGGAGCTGGCTTTTGAGGAGAGTAGAATGATAGCACTAGGAGAAAGGGGAAGTTGGGAATGACCACTGATGGTGCATCTGGGAAAATGAAACTACAGTTCTTGAATATTCATCCCCAAAGAATATGTTATCTTCTCTTCACTGCTCAGAACTCTTAGTTGCAGTTGGTAAGACCCAGAGTTTTTTATACTTCCATACGTGCCTATTCCAAGTGTGGCTCTCAGCCAGCTGGTCAGTCAACAAGTTCAGATTAGGGCTCATTTTCTGATTGCCAGAATCGCAGGAACTCATGCATTCCTCATGCTTGACTTGTGGTCTCACTTCTAAGTCCCCAAGCCTGGCCATCATTCCCAGCCACGTGACCAATTGTTGATTTTCTGGGGGGAAAAATGTCATGGAAATGACGTCGGGAAAAGGTGGGAGGAGATGGAAGAACAGGCCGCATGGAGAAGCCAAGAAAGGCCTTAGAGAAGGAAGCAGTCAGGGGTAAGTCCAGGCCCAGGGCAGGAGGATGAAAGGAGTCGAGGATACTCAGCCTTGTTCCAAGTCTCCGAAGCTGACAAAAGGGAATCCTTTGAACAATGCAGAATCTGAGGTAAATTCTATTTAAGTGTGATGTATCCAACTTGTGATCCAGAGTTTTCGATTTAAGCAAGCTAGGGAAACACATGGAGCGAGAGTGACACTCTGTGGGCAGAGAGAAGAATTTCAGCTCTTTGGGGTCCACTTTGTTGTCCTTACCCTTTCTCCTTCAGTAGCCAATCTGTACATGAAATGACCACATCAACCTGCTTCTGTTTAAGTACCAGGCTAACCCTTTCTTCATGGGGTCTATTATAATTATGTGTTTTGGTCAATTTCCAGATTAGATCTTGTGGAAGGAAAGTCAGGAGCTAATTTCTTGTTCAACTCCTCAGTTTTGTCACCTCAGGAAGAGTTGTGATGCTTGCCTTCCTCAAAACTTCTCCAGTGGAGTTGAGAGCAGGCAAAAATGAGAGCATAACCTGATCACCTGAATCATCTGCTCTTCGAATCTGGGCACACATTCCTTCTCTTCCCAGCAACACTAAACCAATGACATTGTAAATGGGAAGATGAAATATCACCCACCAGTATCTTGAACCAGGCTTCATGTAGGAAAGAACAATGTTTTGAAAGTGGTTAAAAAGGAAAAGTGTATATATACATATTTATCTGTGGCAATAAGAAACGAGGTGGGCAAAACTTGGTGGAGGCAGCAAAGAGCAGAGTTTGCTCATCCCAAACACTCTTGTCCTCTATATTTCTAGCGATAAGGGAAATAATAACTTAGATATAATTCACTGTCTGGGTTCACATTTAGTGCTCCCAAGAAGAGAATAATTATTTCTGGCATTTCTGATAGGCTTCAATATGGAAAGGATATTGGGAAAATGTAGAGCATCCATTTAAAAAAGATGTAAAATTATTTTCTGGGGCAGGGTAAACAAGTTCCTGGAAGCTAGTCCAGCTCCTAGTAGGGGAGTCCTGTCCTATCCAAGACTGAGGCAGTAGAATAGTCATCCTGTGCATTGCTTCATCGGAGGCCCGGTCCCCAAAAAAGCGTGGACCCCGTGGTTCATGCCAGTATGGGTCTGTGCTCAAACTAGCCAAAGGAGTGACAGCGAGAACATTTGCTTTTCATATTTCATTTTAAAATATTTATTATCTGTTGGCAATATTGCATTTCACCACAGCCATGGGAAGGAAGATGGCTCCTGTGATAGTTGGAAAGCCCCTGGGGCTAGACACTGCACAGCCGTAGTCAGTAGTCAGTTCTGGTCATTCCAAGATGGCAGGTTCTTCCAGCCCTTGTCCCTGAACCTTGTGCTATGAGTTCCTTGGGTCGCTGATAAAGTTACAGGACTGAGATGCCACGGTCACAGATGCCCAGGGGATATCAACTCACACTCGCTCAATATGGTGGCCTGCACGCACTGCTGATTCTCACGCATATGGTCACAGAAGCCTCTCCCAGAAGCACTTTGGTCTGTTTCTTTGCTTCAAAATCACTCTCTGGGGCCTCCCCGGTGGCGCAGCAGTTGAGCACTGGGTTGCGAAGCTGCCCCCGGCCTCTGCAGCGCTGGTTCGATCCCCGGCTGCTCCCCGGCCACCGGAGGAGGGTCCCACATGGCGCGCAGACCTCTCCTGCCGCCCACTGCTCCCCTCAGCAGTGTACTTCGGTCCTTCTGCCTGCTCTGCTCCCCGCTCTGGCTCTGGTGAATTCTCTCACCCTCCCGCGCTTCTGACTGTACCCAGTGCTTGTGTAAATAAATAAATAAATCTTTAAAAAAGAAAATCACTCTCTGGTTCCTTTTCCTCAGTAACTAAATCATCAGGTACCAGATTGCCCCGGGCTAGTAGACTTTGATAATTCATGTGACCCCTCAACCAGATGGACCCGAAGAGTGAGGAGAATGGACAGCTGGCAAACCTGTACATGACAGTAAAGAGTTATCCTTGATTCCTCCTTGCCTTCCTACCATCATGAGGCATTGGACTTGGCACTTCCTCTGCTCTGTGAGATCACCATTAGCACCCCAAGGGGATGGCTCAATAGGGAACACAGTGAAAGGAGCTGATCTACTGTATTGTAATGTAAAACAGCTACAGCCAGTTATTTTGTAAGATTATAAGATGTTCATTAAAAAATCAGCACACAAAATGTGAAGTGTCTTCAGTGCCTTCTTTGTTTAAATCATTCTATCACTTCCAAATTGCTTTCTATTTGCTTGTGGTAGGTCCAGACATCATAGTTCATTGATTGATTGTTCCTTTCAGTCACTTAAAAACTATTTATTAAGTAAATAGTATGTGTAAGGAAGATAAACATGGAAGTTCCTGAGAAGAGATGATATATACAAAGGCAGAGTACACAGTAGTGATGTTAAGTGACTCCTGGGTTGTAGAAATAAAGTACGGGAATCATTTATGGGTCACAGGAAATACGTATCACTCTTCACCGCCACTTGAAGAATGATCCATGCAGGGGACATAGGATCTTGAGAGGCAGATGGAGAGAATTCAGGCAAAGGGAAGAAGAGGGTTGAAAATATGGAGGTTGGAGTGGGGAAAGGCTGGATCATCTCATATCTGTGAGGCATGCAGTTTAGCTAGACGGTAAAGCTAAGCTAGCTTATCCCATGCAGGGCAAACACATCTCTCTCTTTTTTTTTTTTTTACATCATTGTTCATTTTTGTACAATATTTGCTTTTTCCTCTCAGTTGTAACCCCCATAAAATTCCCTCCACCAATTCCCCCGTGCACCATCACCATAGTCCCTAGCGCTCTTTCCTTCCCTGTTTTGAACACATCTTTTTAAACCCTTACAACAGGGTTTCTACATTCTCTACATTCTACATTCTTGTTTCATAGATAAGGACACTTAGTGTCAGTCTGGTAAAGAAAGTTCCTTAAGGCCACATGAGAAGACTTAGATTCAAGCGAGGTTTTTGTGAGATGTCAAGATGTAAGGAGGAAAAATGGTGGTTCATAGGGTGGGGAAGAGATGGGGGAGAGATAGAGAGAAATGTCCAACCCTGCACATCATAAACATAATCAACACTGACCGCAAAGGGAAGCCCCAAGGAGCAAGTTTTGGAAGAAAGAGCATATATTTATTTTTTGATAAAATCCATTGGAGGGCCACAGTGGCGCAGTGGTTGAGCGCTGGGTTGCGAAGCTGCCCGCAGCCTCTGCAGTGCCGGTTCAATCCTGGCCACCGGCTGAGGGTCCCACATGGCGAGCAGACCTCTCCTGCAGCCCGCTGCTCCCCTCAGCAGTGTACTTCATCAGTCTGTCTTCTCTGCTCTCCCCTCTGGCTCTGGTGAATTCTCTCACCCTCCCGCACTTCTGACTGTACCCAATGCTTGTATAAATAAATAAATAAATCTTAAGGGAAAAAAAGCAAATAGAGTCAACATTTAAAAAAAAAAAATCCATTGGAGGGCCAGATAGATAATTAGTTGGACACTTCATATATAGCAGTATTTAGCACACTACAGGAGACTTCTCCCATGTCAGGCCCACCAGCTGCCTGAAGGGCTGGAGGTGATCTCTGCACACTATGAGCATTTTGGGAAGACCTATAGGATGGAGATTTGGAAGTAGTAGTGAATCTTGGGAGAAAGCTTTGTTACTTAAATACTTGGAGGTTAAAGGTATATTAGTTGACATTTTATTTTTAAAAAAGATTTATTTATTTATGCATACAAGAACTGGGGTACAGTCCAGAGGTGCAGGGGGTAAGGGGTGAGAGGATTCACCAGAGACAGAGTGGGGAGCAGAACAGACAGATGGCTAGAGCAGCAGGCGAGACAGGTGAGATCTACTGCATCGCATGGGTCACTTCCCTGGCCGGGGATTGAACTCATGCTGCGGTGACTGTCTATAGCTTCATAGTACTGGAACTTAATCCCTTGCTCCACCAGGGAGGGCCCTATTCGCTGACATTTTCTTTATGATTTGCAAAGTGCTGATATCTGCTTTACTGCCACCCATCGGCGAGGTAGAGCAAGAACAGATTTTGTTCGTTTTGTTCCATTTCACAGATGAGGAATCTGAGTGTCTGAGAAGTTATTGAAAATGTTAGGCTTAGTAACTAAGTACAGGTTAGGATAGGGATCCAACTTTTCCATTCCTAACAATAACATGCTTTCTGCTACATGATGTTCAGCCCTCTAGAACCAGAGTGAATCCAAATCCAATTGAAATAGGAAAGTTAAATGCCTTTTTACCTGTTCATGTTTCAAGGTGCTCCTTGGTTTCCCTGTCACTTTCTTACTAGCTGATGATAAGAAAAAAGTGAACCTTCTAGAGCACCCTTCCAGGACCTTCTCCTTGTGCCAGTCCCTGAGTAGAAGCAGACGCCCCTGTATATGCCAGTTAGGCCAGCTGAACTGAGACATCTGGCAAGGCTGCCTTCTCCCTAATAGGCTCCCCAGGGAGAGTCCTGGAGAGAGACTTTGGAGCTCTGGTTTCCATTGACTGACAAACTTAAATGACACTGTGAGTCACCCATCGGCCAGGAGACTCACTACTCTCAGATTCAAGCCAACCAGATGATGAGGGGCTCGGGGGGTGAGGGGGTTAAGGAGAAGGCTTTCCACTTATAAATAACATCAGGACATCTCTGGAGCTGGCTTTGGGTTGTCTTTTTTATGTCACCACAGAAAGATGACTGATTCTGAGCCCCCTAACCCTATGTGCCCATGGTTGACTCAGAGCAAAAGGGGGATGTTGGTGAAAATTGTACATCTTGGAATGTTCCTTTAGGACTTTCGACAGGTCCCTTGGATGTTTAGATCTGGCACAAAATAAGATAAGGTTAGAGAACAGTGGTTTTTCAAGTCTGCCTTCATCTGGCCTGGACAGCATATATCTGGTAAGATTCCATACTCATGGTCAGTTCACTGTAAGGCCTGAGTGATTTGCCACACTCAGCCCTTTCTGATGGTCACCACCAGCAGCAGCCCTTTGCCCCTATGTCCTGCTACTAGATATTTGGATTACAATGCTAAGTGTTAGTAAGGATTGGTGTGACAATGACAGAATACATTCAGAGTCCAGAGCACTAACCATTACACATGGGGCCTGTTTGAGCAGAGTCCATCTTTAAAAGAATCTGCAAGTTAAATCTGCTTAACATTTCAAATCAGTATAATAAAAACATTTCTAAGCCTTGCAAGATAGTCCAGAGTAACTGCAGTTTGCTAATGTTCTTCAAATCAAATTTTCTTCTGAGGATAATTTAATCTAGGCAAGCTTACTTTTCTTTGTCCCTGTCCACATAAAAGTTTCTTATTCAAATGCAAACAAGTAAATGAAGGGAGAGTGTTGACTTTTTAATGACTACCAATCATGTTGTATCAGTTTGCCTTTCCTCTTCATTATATAACTACTCTCCGAAGGCAATGGTCTTTTTAAAAATATTTATATGCACAAAAGTCATATTTAAATCTCACAAAAGATTATCTAAGTTAGAGAATGTCCTCATTGCACACTTCAATAAGTACAGCTGAGAGGCTTTCTGAATAGTAAGGCCTGTGTGTGTTAGGACACAAATGACTTCCAAGAAATGATTGTGTTGGCAATGAGTCAGTGACCTTTAGGATAACCTACAAGAGAGTTCCTACAGCTTCTTAAAATGTCCAAATAGTCTCCACCCTGGGAAATATTATTAATCCAACACTTCTCATTCCTTTACTTTGATCGGTGACCTGCTGCAGGGGAGCTGGGGGCAGGGATGACTGAGTGTGGCTTTGAAGGTCACTGTGTAGGATGTATTCGTGACTTATAATCCATGGGCAGCAGCCTGGTGATCTGCGAGAAATGCAAGCTTTTGAGTCTGATGAATCTGAAAGTGAATTCTAACACCACCGTTAAGTAGACTTTTCATTTAGTTACTTAACCTCTATGAGTCTCAGTTTCCTAAATATTTACCTTGGCAGGATTCTCCCTGGCACAGTGCCTGAGCTATTTCAGACAGGAAGAGGTTAAGCAGTAATTGATAGGAGCAATGAAAATTGTCTGTTCGCTCAAGCTGGGAAGTGCAGAGAATAGAATTGCCTTTATATTCCTTCTAAAGATGCTTCAAATTCTCAAATACTATGATTCTCAGACATTAGAGGGTCTCTGAAATCTATGCCCTCGTTTTATTCTCAGGATAGATGGAGCAGCTACAAGAATCCCATGTAGGTTGAGTGTCAGGAGATGTTCTAACCCACTGATTCAGAAAGAAACAAAATGGTTAGTAAGATGATAGTGCTAAAGCATGGCAGTGAGAAAAAGGAAGTGGGCTAAGGGGCAATTTTTGGACTTGACAAAAATGTTGGTAAGTTCCAGGCATTTGGAATATACCTGGAAAATGGCATTAGCTATGTAGAACGCTGGTTATTTCTTTCAAAAGATAATTGCATTGATGAATTTATACAATTTTTAGAAGAGTTAATTGCCAATTTCTATGATGATGAAGATGTCTGTAGCCACATTATCCAACGTAGTAACCACTGGTCACCTGTTGCTACTGAGCATTTGAAGTGAGACTAAAATGATTTAGTAA